TTTATTGGAAAGTTAATACATTGAGACAGAGTGAATGGAAAGCTGATCAGAATGCTAAGGCATATCCCAGCATTGCATTGCTTTTGCTGTCTGCAGGTATGCGGCATGGGTTGATTCATTTAGCACATCATCTAAAATCATGTAGCGTTCAGTACCGATTAAAATTATATGAAACTGTGTGTAAGAGATTTCTCCATGTTAGCTTTGAAGGATCCTCTATTCCTTGCAGAAGTAGTTCTGATAGGCACAGCACAACTCCACTGACTGCAGGTGTTACGCTTCATAGACACCAATACTGCACCAGCAGCCAGAGGAGTTGCTCAGGATTTAATTTCACGCTTGTGTATCTGAGTGTAGGATTGGTCCCCTTTCTTTTAATCATGTATCTGCAAGTCTCAGACCATCTATTATGGTATTCATTACTCCTCTGCCATCAGCACTGGCATGATGTATCGAATGAAACCTTGCAGGGCAAGGGCTTCTGCTGTCCCTTTTCTTCCTCTCTGCCTCCTGCTGTGTGTGTGTGTGCCTATATTCCACCCCACCCCTCTATTTTGGCTGCTCCATTTTGAGCCTTCCAGGAGCATGTTCCTACCCCTCCTATTGTCCCAATTTCCACTTCCCCAACTTTTCCAGGGTTCCCAGAAGAGAGGAGCCTCCCTGCGTTTGCTCCATGCCAGACCAGCCTGTCTAATTGCTGGCTTTTCTCCAGCATCCAATTCTGCAGGAGTGGAGCTGCTCTCTGTTCTTGAGCTGTTAACTGTCTCCCAGCTGAAAAAGGCTTGTGCAAACCTGTAGCGATTGGTGCTAATATAACTTAACTTTCTTAAATATTTTTTCCAAAACTTGTTCGGATGTTAGAAACACTGGAAGATGTCAGTTGAGTTTGAGTCACTTATTTGCATGTATAGCTTCTGAAACCGTGGAATTGGAGCATTTCACAAAAATGAATAAATGTACTCTAATGGCTGGAGCTGAACAAAATATTTTAGCTGTATATATTTTCAGTGAAAGAAGCAGATTCAGCAACACTGAGATGCCTGTTAAATTTTCATTGGTGGTGTGAAGTTGTTTTAGTTGGAACGTACATCCCCAGGCCCCCCAAAAATCTGGAAAAAGTGACAATTCCGCCTGAAACATAAGATGGTTTTGATATATGAAGCACTTTCTTTTTTGAAATAACTTGACTTGAATGCTTCGGCTCTTCCAGACTTTTCTCTGAAAAGCCACTGTATGCTCTGTTCTGTACCTTGCACCTCTTCAGTGTGAGAGAGTCCATTGACCCCAGTTGACATCGTAGAACAAAAGCGCCATGCAATTGAGTCTGTGGTTTCCTGATGACTTTACCAGTACAAGATATTGCCAACAATAGCTGTTTGTTCCCACAGTGTTTTCTTGAAGTGTTTGCGTGGCCCCATGCAGAAATGCATGGCCGTACTGTGAACAGGCTGGGGAACTGAGCCAGCTTAGGGAAGAAGGTGGTGTCATGATTTTTGATAGAGACAGACCGTTACTTTTCCAGTTCACAGCATGGCCAGAGATCTTGACCTATCATCCTTTTCCCAGAGTTTCTGCAGCTATCCAGTAAACATATATCTTCTCTAACTTGCTAATGACTATTGAATTATTGCACGTTTGTAAGGGGACCATTGGCATTAATGTTGGGCTGCCTAACAGCGAGGCAGGATTTTATTTAGAACAGGATGTTCCAATGTGTTTCTTTTTCAGTCCTACAGAAGATATTTAGTGGTATAACCAGCAAGTTCCTTCCCATGGTTCTCTTGACAAATACTTGAGCTCCCCTCTTGGTTTGTAACATCCTTTTTGGTGGAAATAAATTTGTGTACGGCATGGCTCTTCACCGTTTATAAGTACAGATAAATGTACACATCTATTAAGTGTCTATGCAGAAAACTAAACCTGCATATTTTCACAAGAATGTCAGGTTTTTAATTGTATAAATAAGATGCTGACTGAAGCAAATATTCAATTTCACATTAAAGTTAGGCATTCATAAAGGCTTGGATTTGCATAATTTAATTTTCTGCACAGAGAATACTGAAAATCAATGGTATGATTCATAGCCATACCATGGTTGCCATGTGGCTTTTTGGTGGTTCAAGCTAGGACTACAAAGGGGTTTACAACTTCAGATGTTTCGCACTGACTCGGAGCCTTTTTTCCTTCAACAATATAGATTATTTAGACATAGTTTTTTTCTTCTGATGGTAAGGCACACAGAAGAGCTCACAGAACAGATACGTGCAGGAGTACCTTATTCCTTGGAGGAGGCAGGGTGAAATCTTCCTTCTGCCTGCAGGAATCAATTTTTCTGGGCGACAAAACCCCCACAACTATTTGCCTCCTTGTCGTGGTTTGCTCAGAAGAAAGCTGCTGTTGTCTTTCATTTTGTAATAAGGAGGGACTTTAGGTGTATTTCTCAGCACATGTGATTTTTTAAGTGAATAATTGGGCCATTTTTTCCTGATAGCCTTTTCAGCCATCCATCTAGGTTATTTCTATGTTCTCTTCCTCAGGATTTTCATGGTCTCTGATCTTTGCTCAGTTTGGGTTTTGGTTTTTTTTTTTGCCAAGAGGGTTTGGGTCTCCACATCCCTTACCTGTTGTTTCCTGTTGAAATGAGTGCCTGTTGCCTCCCAACCAGGTAGACATATTAGGGTAAATCAGAAGAGGAAAATAAGGTATGTGATAAGTGTTGCCTACAAATCCTGGTAGCATGATGTGTTCCAGCATTTCTGGTTTGCAGCCTGGAGTGAATTAGCATTTAGAAAGTTGCCAAGAAATCTGGAAAACTCATTCAAATCAGAGGCTCATAATAAATTGCACAATTAGTACCTTTGCTCGCACAAGAGAAAATTTGGCAGGGACAAACCTGTAATGCCTTTCCTGAGATTGCATGACTTTCCTACCACTTCAGGATTCCAAAATCTGCAGAAATCCATGATCCATGTTTGTCATGGTTTAACCTCAGTCGGCAACTGAGCTCCACACAGCCACCCACTCACTGTGGCCCCCCCCACCCCCCCCAGTGGGATGGGGAGAGAATTGGAAGAGTAAAAGTGAGAAAACTTCTGGGTTGAGATAAAAACAGTTTAATAATTGAAATACAATAAAATCCTAATAATAAGAACAAGAATAAGAATACACAAAGCAAGTGATGCACAATGCAATTGCTCACCACCCACCGACCGATGCCCAGCCAGTCCCCGAGCAGCGGCCCCCCCGGCCAGCTTTCCCCAGTTTATGTACTGAGCATGACGTCCCATGGGATGGAATGTCCCTTTGGCCAGTTGGGGTCAGCTGTCCTGGCTGTGCCCCCTCCCAGCTTCTTGTGCACCCCCAGCCTCTCCGTCGGTAGGAGCGTGGGGAGCTGAAAGTCCTTGACTAGTGTAAGCACTACTTAGCAACAACTAAAACATTGGTGTGTTATCAACATTGTTCTCCTCCTAAATCCAAAACACAGCACTGTACCAGCTACTGGGAAGAAAATTAACTCTGTCCCAACCGAAACCAGGACAATGTTGCAGAGTGAAGGTTGTCTATAGAGCTGTTTAGCATACATGGATAGCCCTTGAACACAGCATGCTCTCTGCAGCTGTGGTACAAAGGGGGTGTCACCCAGAAGCTTTTCTAAAGGGAAAGCAAGCCAAAATTCTGAGTTATTGGTGCTTGATGTTCAATACAGTCCTGTTACAAACTTCGTTTCAGCCCAGCTGTAATTGGCCTGGGAATAGAAGGGAATACAGTGCTTGGTGACTGCATATGGGTAGCAGTGCTTTACGTGGTTTTCTGAGGTTTAAATTTGAATTACTCAGCTAGTTTCTTACTGATCAAATAAGTGGTTTGGGATCAGTTGGACTTAAATTTCCATAGAGCTAGTTGGTGCATACTTGTTCTTCACATTCCGCGTCTGTGGATCTAAGGGGTTTTTTGTTTGCGTGAATTTATTATAGCACAAAAGTTTTCGGCTGTGGTGCTCTGAGAAAGGTAGCTGAATTTATTACAGAGTTTTTACTGACATTTGTGAATTCACACACCTCCAGTTTGGTTCAGTCAGATGCATAGAAACAATAAGCAAAATTTGCACGTAAAAAACCCAAACAACCCACGTCCTCATGGAAGCTATGCATTCCTTTACAAGAAAAAAAAAAAACATTGTTTGAGGTATAAAAGAAAAATCCTGGGATGCAATGTAGGATGCATTCTTTTCTGTTTTGGTTGATGAATTTGATTGCTTCTAGCTTGTGAAGTTTTACAAAGATTTCTTCATTACTGGCCTCTCCCTTTCATGTCATAAGGCATTGGTATTGCACGCTGGGTATTTTGTCTGACATACGCAACCTTTCCTCTGGCTAGAAGGCAGTGCTACATGTCTGCCTTGCTTGAGTGAATCATATGAGGTGATGTTACTCGAGCCTTGCTCATGTTGAGACTGTTACCCAGTGCGCTGTGGGCTCAGGTCTGCAGGCTGTACATGGAAGAGAATCATTCGGTCCTGAGTGAAACTGTTCTATGTGGGATTTTCAGGTGTGGTTTAAAATAGGTGCAGTAATGATACTGTACCGGCATATTCCACACGCTTGCATCTGTATTCCTTTAAGCATCTTGATAATTTTTGTGTTGAATTAGTTAGTAGTTTGATAGTCACTAGCAAAGTAAGCTATCTTTTGGGTCTAGACAGAGAACGTTTGGTCATATGTCATGGCTCATACTTGTTTGCTTGTGTTTATCGGAATTTCCTTATGGAAATTACTGGAGTTATGCAGGCATGTGCCAGATCAGAATAATGGCATCAGTGAGTCCTGGCTTCTGTGAATCAAGTTTGGATGGTGGGTTTTCATGGGTGAGGAACATGCCTGTTAAATTTTTTTTTAAGCAATGCCAAGTTTGTAGTCTCTGCTCAGCAAAGATTTAAGCTTCACAGTGTAAACTCCAGGGAGTAAATACCACTTTCCTAATGATTCCTGCTTCTTCTCTTCCCAGCTCTGACTGAAGGTTATGTTGGCTCTCTGCATGAAAACAGACATGGTAGTTCTGTGCAGATACGGAGGCGAAAGGCTTCGGGGGATCCTTATTGGGCATACTCGGGTGAGTTGACTTCTTCAGAGGACTAAAACAAGAAATATCTCCAAAATCAAATTGTCTACTTGCTTTTTGTTACTTCTACGGTCAGAAATAGTTTAAATTAGTTTTACAGTGTATTTTCTTCTGCTGACTTCCCTGCAAACTCCCTCTAC